CCTGGTCCAAGATGTTCCTCACATATTCTTTAATTCTCCATGGACCATGATATAGACAGGCCATGTAGACTCCCATCATAAGATTATGCCCTATAATTTAACTTACAAACTTCCTAATACTGAATGGTTAGACTTTTGTGGTGACCATCCTTATACTCAAATCTTTGCCCAAACATCTATTTCCTTAGAATAACTTTCTAGGAAGAAATTTATGCCCATAAAAGACTATGAAGACTCAGAGAAATCTGGTACAAATTCCCTATCCCCCTTTACAATAAAGCCTTTCAACAGGAAAGTGGCCTTGAACATTTATGTTTTATTAAAATACATCTGGAGAGAAGAGTACAGGATAAAGTAGAGGGAGAAGAGTCAGAGAAACCAATTAAGAGATTGTTGATTATGTGGAGAAAATAAGATAATGGTGAGAGATACTAATGAGGATGAATTAATATGATTGGAGAACTGATTAAGAGGGTTGGAATATGGAAAATGAGAGGGTGGAGCTAAAGATGACCCCTAGATTTCACCTTGCATTTTCTGTATAAACAAATAAAATAAATAGTCTGAGATTTCTGAATTCACCAAGAGAAGATATGTAGGCCAAGGAACAGCTTTGAAAGCAAAATAATGACCTGTTTTGAACATTTACAGCCTTCCATTCCTATGGGGGCTCTTTGGGGAGGCGACTGGTTCTGTACGTCTGGAACAGTCACCAAGCTCTGGTGAAGGAGATGCATTTGGCTCATCAGAATAAGAAATACCAATTATCCCAGAGAACTGATTTATAAAAGTTGGAAAAAATAACATTTACTTAAAAATAGTTGCTCTCAAACTTTTATCTACTTCAGCCCAGCTGCTGGTGATGGATACCATATACTCCCCAGAAAAAAGACATCAGAATTGAAGATGGGAGCAGGATAGAGTTGACAGGTACTGGGGCACAGGGAGGATAAAGGATTCTGATACTCTTTGTTTTCAAATAATTATTTATTTAATTCCATTTGCTATTATCATTTTTTAAATTGGATGAGTCACAGAGAGAGAAAGAGAAAGTGTGAAAACATGCCTTCGGGTCTGGGACTCAACCAGAGTCGGCCGTGTGGGAGTTCAGTACTTTAACCACTGTGCCATATGCTGGCCCCAATATTATTCATCAGGGAGGCATGCTGTCTACTCCTCCCCCTCCATAAGAATCACTGCCTTCAAAACCTAGTGGGGAGCCAGACAGTGGTGTGGTGAGAAAACATAATACTCTGTGAAGCTGTCCCATACAGAACAGATATAGATTTGCATCTGGAGACCTCCCTGAGTGTGCTGGGCATGCATCTGCCCATGATTCAGGGATCGCTAAAGCTGGGGTTGGATTTTGGTGTCTAGAGACAGTTAGCTGGCTCTATGTCTCTCTTGTTCATGAAAGAAATTAATAAACTTTGGACTAAAAAGACTGGCCCTTGTCCTAATAGGCCCAGACACAATGCTCCAATGCCCTAAGCCACATTAGCAGGAAGGCCAGACTAGTGACAGCCATCCTTGTGTGTCTATAAGGCTACCAGCTCCTTCCACGCCTAGGTCCCAGCTACTCAGGGGCCAAGGCAAGAGGATCATCAAAAGTCTTTTAGAGAGGTGAGGAGGAAACATGAGGGAATTCAATCAAGAGATCCCAGGGAAACACAAAGTCGAGTTCTCAGCAGGCTGCTCTGTCCCCGGCTTACTTCTACACTCCCATTTCCACCTTGTCCCTCTGAGCACCTCTTTCTGGTGCCCAACCCTTGAAGGTTTAGAGTTTCACCTTACTCTAGGTAAATATCTTTTGCAGCTTTCTAAAAATGTTTTACTTATATGAATAAAAAGAAACAGGAAAAAAATGACCTTTATTTATTCCCCTCACTTATTTTTCTACTGTAAATCTTAAAAGAAAAAATATTATGTGTGGCCCAGAATTCAAGGTCCTGAGATTTCAATGATTACAAGGATACATATATAGCCACTATGTCCTGCCACTGAAGCTTTCAGTTAGTGAAGAGAGGATGAAGTAATGGTGGGAACAGATCTTGGGTACTTCAGGGAGCAATCAGCAGAGGGAGAGAAGAGCGAGGACAGTGGTGGTGGGGGTAGGGTCACGGATAGCTGGGACACCAGAGAGAGACAGGTCAGTGGTGTGAAGGGTCTCTGCCATGTACAGGAAAAACACCTTCCTCAAAGTAATTGCCTGGGAAGGTGAGATCCTAAAATCAAGGCACTGGCAGATTCAGTGTCTAGTGAGAGCTAACTTCCTAGTTCCTAAATGGTGCCTTCTCATGGTGTACTCACATAGTAGAAGGGGCAAAGGGTCCATCTGGGGTCTTTTAAATAAAGGCGCTAATTCCATCCATGAGGAATCACTTCCCAAAAATCTTCTAATAGAGTTAAGGTTTCAACATAAATTTGGAGAGGATATAAATATTCAGACCACAGCATTGGTCAAACCAGACCAATTTGAGTCTGGAGCTCTCTTGGTGCAGCTACAACCCACATGGACCTCAGGTCCTAGCAGAGGAACCTGGGTGGGTCATGGGACTAGCAAGTCTTTGTTGCTGGGCTGAGCAAGGCAGCAGGGTCAGTGGTGCGTTTTTCACTAGCCAATGGTCTGAGGCCAGGATCTGGCCTGAATTCTTCCCTATCTGGCTGTGTAACATAGGCCAAGTCCTTCTGCTCCCTAACTTCCTTACCTGGTGAAGACAGAGCTGTAATAAAGGAGAGGCAATTGAGAAGATACCCAAGTACCAACCTACACTGTAATGGAACAGAGAAAACTGTATTGACCAGAAGTCTGCTAAAAAACAAACAAAAAACACTAGACTAAGAACCTCCTAAGTATGATCTGTGGAAATAAGAGCACTCTGTGATATTAATATACTCATTCATTCATTTATTTTACCTTTGCAGGGTGAGGAGAGTTCCACAGTAAGTTGAGTTTGAAGAGGTAGTAGGTTAAACAGACGATTTCAACAGCAGGACTTCCAGAACATTTGCTATATTAACGGACATGGTAACCCTCCAAGGCTGGAATGGAGAGTGCAACATTTTCTTAACCTCTATTAAGTCTTCTTAGGGAAAGCACCCTGTGGTACTCATGCACACAGAATATCAGCACATTATCTAGAAGCTGAAGAGATCCTGAATTGGAGGTTGAGTGTAGTATTCTGTTCCAGAATCCTGCCACCAGTTGAAGTAGTGTGCAGGGACTGTTACTTATCCTTTGGCCTCTCTCCACCTGTGGCATCTCTTGCCAAAGTCCCTGACATACTGTAAGTCACTTGTGTTGTTTTGGGGCTCTTGGGGGATAGGGGTAAATGAGAGTGGTTGGTTGGTTGTTTTTGAGACAGGACACAGAAATGGAACAAAGGGGATGTGAATCTTTATTTGCCTTGGAACTGATAGAAAATTGCAGAAGGTACACCTGAGATTCTTAATATAAACTTATATATATATATATACAAGAGTGTGTGTGTGTGTCTGTGTGTAACTATAAATGCAAAACAGTAAAAATTATTTGGAAATAAGAGAAATGTTTTTCACGCTCCCACACCAATAGCCTGCTGTGGCTTTGGTATGTCTTCATTAGTCTTCCACAGATAGTTCTTCATGTTGTTATTTTAATTCTCATATTCTTGGCCATGGGGAAGAAATGTCCTGGTTTTCCTCCCCTATCCCTGCATGTGTCTTTCCAGAGTTGGGAAAAGCAGAACCACAACGAAGAGTATCAATGTACGCGTGCAGGGGTCCTCCCTCTCTCCTCCATGCCAGGCCCTGGCCCCTCCTTCTGCCCATGACCCATATGCTGCCCCATACCCAGAACTGACCACTTCTTTCAGGTTATCATCCAGACTACCACTCTCCCTCCTATACCGCTGGCTAAAATGACAAACTTTTGCCAAGCATCCAAGTTAACTTTGGCCTTGTATAAACAGATATAAAGGTCTTGCCTTTGTTGCACATCATCTGTCAAGTGGAATTCATCCTTGTCTACTCAATTCTATACTACAATACTGAAATATTCTGGATGGCAAAAGACAGTAGTAGGCAGGTAGTTTGTGGTACTTTTAGGATATTCAGGGAATTAGAAAATGCAGGCTATAGTGGGCGACTGTTGTCTGTGCCTGCCCAGTATACATACATTCTCTTTTTCAGAAAGCATCTGATTTTGCTTTGGAAAACATCTTTTTCTTACTCCACACAATTTGGGCAAGGCTTACCTTATTACCACTCCACTGAAAAGGACTCAGATCTGATTAGGATATTCTGTATTCAGCAGTGGGGAGTACAATTCTGGGAAATTTAATATGTTAAAGAATTGGGTAGAGAGAATCTCTGTCCTCCACTAGGGTTGCTGAGAGAATAGGATATTAAAGACAACACCTACTGGAGTAGAGAGACAACAGAGAAGAAAGAACTGAGAAACACGAGAGTTGAATTCTGGTGACATTGTTTGAAGTCCTGAATCCAGCTATACCAAAGCCAAATATACTACTTAACTTCTTAATTACAAAAGCCCACAAAGTGTTTTACTTGAATCAATTTGTTCAATTTCACATTTGCAACTGCATTCTACCCAAATTAAAGCCTTAAGACTTACCTAGGTTAAACTGACTTTCATATCCCTGCTATAATGTCTCTGGGATCAAGAAACTTAGTCTTTCATGTTATCATTCCTCAAGAAGACGACACCGTTCTCTGCATTATGCACGCTTAATCTTTACAGCCTTTTATGGATGGTTTTGTTCATAACCTAATGAAGAAAATGAGGCTCAAAAACCTGGGTTAACTTACTCACAAGCAGGTCTTAGAAAGGAGACTCAAACCCAATCCTTAGGCCTAATTTTTTCTAGAACATGATGTTCTTTCTATGCAACACTAGACTGGCTTCGAGAACAGAAGATTAACATACAAAATTTCAGAACCAACAACTACAAAGTAAAGTTCTTTTTCTTTCTTGGTGAAGGAAAGGATATAGTCCTTACCTCTTAGATCCGTTTGGTGCACACAATAGCTCTCGGATCTGACAGCCCTAAGGTGCACACAATAGCTCTCGGATCTGACAGCCCTAAGGTCAGTCAGGCTATTCATTCTGCTCTGACTGGATGGATCCTGGCACTCTGTGTTGGAACACGGTGAGCTCCACTGAGAAGCCTGTGGGCTGTCTTAATTTTGTAACATTTGTCATGGGGCAGTTTGACCTCGACCTGCATGCAGGTGCCACAGTTTATCTTTGGTCTTCCAGCTGAGTACATCCAAGTACTAGATGTAAAGATAAACCTAGTGACGCAAACGCATGCTGACATTAACCTGTTAGGTGGAGGGCTGCTTTGAATCTTCTCCAAGGACTGAACAACTAAAAAGAATCTGAACCACAACCATAATGTGTAATAAATCTTCTCAATACCAGGGAAGGCAGCAGATAGTTCAGATTTTCAGATGAAGAAGCTAAGGGTTGAAAGATGGAGGACCAGCCCATACTAACAATACAGCTAGGATGCAAACGTAGTTATCATCCTAAGTCTGCATTATTTTCACACTACTCTACTGGAATTCAAGAAACTAAAAGCTTTCCTCATAAATGACTCAATTTTTTAAAGAATAAAGGCTTTAGAAAAATAAAAACATAAAATAAAATTTCAAGACAGTAGCCAACCAAATCTTAAAAGATGGACCCAGTCACCACCACCATAGGTTAACAGGGAGTGAAATTAGCAACAATGAACAGTGCTACATGGGTGCTAAGATAAGGGGGTAAGGCATCTATGAGAACACGTAGCCTGGGGAGCTTTGGCAGGAACTGCTGAGGCTTTAAGATTGAGGAGGAAGGCCAGTAGGTGGCATAGTAATTAAGGTGCTGGACTCCCACATGGCCAACCTCAGTTTGAGTACTGGACCCAGTAGCTTTAAACTCACACCAAGTGTATGTGCATGTGCTCAAAATGACGACAGAATGGAGAAGGGACTGCAGTGTGGCTATACGCCCTGGAGGGCTGATTTCTCACTCTTTCTCTCTGTATTTTAATGTCTCTGGTGAGTGCACAGCCCTATAGCAAAAATCTCTCTCTCAAGAAACAAACAAAAGGCTTAAGGAGGTAACTCAGTGAGAGGTGGAGAGCTCAGGCAGGTTTACTTTCTAGGCCTCTTATGACAGTGTTATCAAACCACAGCTCTTAAAATGTGAACATATCCCAAATCTCTACAAAACTTTTTTATAATTTGCCTTCTAAATTGCTTGATGATCAGCAATTTGTTTAATAAATGATTAGTTATGATTCCTTAACTATCATTGTACATGCTTAGAAATTCTTGTGAGATGGGACCAGCAGTTAGCGTAATGGCTATGTGGCCGGACTCCCATATAGTCGACAGTGGTTCGGGTCCCAGACCCAGCGGCTTAAACTCACACCAGGCGTGTGTGTGTGTGTGTGTGTGCGCGCGCGCGCGCGCGCGCACGCACGCATGTCCAAGATCCCGAGAGGAGAATGGAGGAGAAGGGATTGCAATGTGGCCATTCCCCCTGTCTTTCTGGTGAGCACACGTGCCCTACAGCAAAAATCTCTCAAACAAACAAATAAACAACAAAAGAAAGCAAAACAAAAAGAATTTTTTGTAAGAAACTCTCACCTATATTCTCAATATTTTAATAACTAAGCTAGAATGCATAATTATTTTTGCTCCTTTCTTTTCATAATTTGTAACCAATATTTTCCCCCTGATTTCTTACAAATATTCTCATAAGTTCTTCAAAGATTACAGCTTAGGGAGAGATCTAAGAACCATGTGTACTCAACACTTATAACCGCATGTACTCAGCACTTAAAGCCTCAGGTTGGTGATCATGACTGAAGTTGGGTCCCTCCAGAAGCAGGCCATGCACCACTTCAAAATATATGGTCCTGGGAGCCAGCAGTTAGTGTAATGGCTGTCGCTGGACTCCCACGTAATCGACCGCGGTTCGAGTCCCGGACCTGGTGGCTTAAAACTCATGCCGGGCGCGTGTGCGTGCAGCTATGTGGCCGGACTCCCATATAGTCGACAGTGGTTCGGGTCCCAGACCCAGCGGCTTAAACTCACACCAGGCGTGTGTGTGTGTGTGTGTGTGCGCGCGCGCGCGCGCGCGCACGCACGCATGTCCAAGATCCCGAGAGGAGAATGGAGGAGAAGGGATTGCAATGTGGCCATTCCCCCTGTCTTTCTGGTGAGCACACGTGCCCTACAGCAAAAATCTCTCAAACAAACAAATAAACAACAAAAGAAAGCAAAACAAAAAGAATTTTTTGTAAGAAACTCTCACCTATATTCTCAATATTTTAATAACTAAGCTAGAATGCATAATTATTTTTGCTCCTTTCTTTTCATAATTTGTAACCAATATTTTCCCCCTGATTTCTTACAAATATTCTCATAAGTTCTTCAAAGATTACAGCTTAGGGAGAGATCTAAGAACCATGTGTACTCAACACTTATAACCGCATGTACTCAGCACTTAAAGCCTCAGGTTGGTGATCATGACTGAAGTTGGGTCCCTCCAGAAGCAGGCCATGCACCACTTCAAAATATATGGTCCTGGGAGCCAGCAGTTAGTGTAATGGCTGTCGCTGGACTCCCACGTAATCGACCGCGGTTCGAGTCCCGGACCTGGTGGCTTAAAACTCATGCCGGGCGCGTGTGCGTGCATGCCCAAGATCCCGAAAGGAGAATGGAGGAGAAGGGATAACGGCGTGACCATCCCCCCGGGGGGTAATTTCTCGCTTTCTGTCTCTATGTCTCTCTCTGTCTGGCGAGTGCATGCGCCCTATAGCAAAAATCTCTCTCTCAAAAAAAAAATATATATATATGGTCCCACTACCATTCTTCACTGAAGACTGTAAAGAACTTCAGGGGCCAGCAGGTGGCATGGTGGTTAAAGGCACTGGATTCCTACATGGTCAACCACAGTTTAAGTCCTGAACCTGGCAGCTTGCTTTCTCACTTTCCCTTTCTCTCTGTCTCTCTCTGATCAAAGTGAAATAAATAAATAAATAAATAAATAGAATTAAATAAATAATTCTTTTTAAGAAAATGAACCTCAGGATGTCCCACCATTTCCAAATGTAGCAGGAAGAGGTAGCTGCCCCTACCATTCTCCTTTGAGGCACCATTATTTTCCAAGATAAATACCAATTGCCCAGATGGTCACCAGTGAGTCCAACAACAGTCCCACCACTCCATCTCAGCTACAGTGACTGGGCACTCAAAACAGACACATGCAGTCACCATATGTGTCACTACTGGACTGATTCATTATCTTTCATCTTTCAGATAACCTCTGATCTCTATAAATTCACCTGCCTTCGTCAGCTTGAATGTATCATTTCCAAAACAGTAGCACAGGGAAATTACTAACAAATTAGTCAATCTAAATGTTTTTAGATGTGAGAATCTTTAGAGGGTTAGGAATTGAGAAGAAATGCAAAAGCATAAAGAATGTCCTGGGCCCTCAGATAAATTCAAACATCAGAAACATTGAGAATGTTTTAAAATAGGTACTAACCCAGGCCTGTGCTCAGAGTTTGGGGATACACTGATTGGTATGGGCCAGCTGCGACAAGGAGTTAAAGCAGCTCCACACCCTGACAAAATGATAGCTTTTATTTGCTTAAGTTAAGAAGTGATGTGGCTTGGCCTCTGTTAGATGCCAAACAATGATAAATTGTTCCTCACAAATGGTGTCTTAGATGTGGCCAGCAAAAGTTCAAAAAGGCCTGGCTATTAACTATTAATCACTTCTAAAGAACAGGAAGGGTCTGAACAAGGGAAATTTAAAAACATGAGATATTTCTCATCTACTCTGGAGCCAGGTAAGGATCAATAGAGATCCAGGTTGGGCATATGGCCTATGGTACCATTTTCTCTTTCATCAGTCTGGCTAAAGTCACCTACTCATACATCCAACAGTCTCCAGCACGGTACCTGTGTAAGACTAATGGAATGCCACATCTAGTCCTCACATCCTTGACTGAAGTCTCAGATTAATTCATTTCTTCATCCCACTCTAAACCTCCCTCTCTTCCCCAAATGAATCCCATCTCCCAACTTGGACTCTGCCAAAAATTTGGAAATTTCTGTTTTCCTGGTTTCTCCATCTCCCTTTGATTTTATTGACTACATCAAATTTCCTCTACTCCATCCTGCCTACTTCCTTTCCTTCCGTTTAGCACCCTCAGTCTTGTACTCTGTGACCATAAAACTATCTACCAACAACAGTGGCATCATGCAGGAGCCTCCCAACATAAAGACCTAATGGCAAATGACCACCTACCTCATGGTCTTTCTCTAGGAGTAACAGTGAAAGGACAGGCACCAGGATATAACTTAAATTTCTGTGTGTGTGTGTGTATGTGTGTGTGTGTTTGAGTCAACAATTAGACATCCTTCATTACTTTTTATAGAAAAGGTTTTTAAAAATAGAAAACAAAACCATGAGGTTTTGCTGCCCTGTGAGGGCAATCTGAATTTTAGCAAATCTTCCTGTTGTTCTTTCCCAATCAGCACATCATGTTGCAATACCCAAGCTTCCTCCCACTTCTTTATCAACTGTTTTGACAAGTACAGTAAAATAATCATGACAGACGGAGGTTGGCTGGTAATTGTAGAGAATGTAGGTGGAGGGTGTTAAAAGCTTCTAGGGCCTGATAGAAAATAGAAAAGCAAAGACAAGGATTCTGGGGGATGAGCAGTTAGCGTAATGGCTATGTCGCTGGACTCCGACATAGTCGACCGCGGTTCGTGTCCTGGACCCAGTGGCTTAAAACTCACACCAGGCACGTGTGCGTGCGTGCCCAAGATCCCGAGAGGAGAATGGAGAAGGGATTGCAGCATGGCCATTCCCCCTGGGGGGTGATTTCTTGCTTTCTGTCTCTCTGTCTCTGTCTGTCTGCGAGCGCATGTGCCCTAAAGCAAAAACCTCTCCAAAAAAAAAAAAAGACAAGGATTCTGCCATGAATCCAACAAGTCCACAGGTGTACCTGCCTACAAACCCCACTAACCCTATTGAACAACTGCTGCTGTAACATGATGATTTGTCTCTGTCAGCAGAGAAGAGCAAGAGGCCAAGACTAAAAACCAAGTGCCCAAGTACTGAAATCTTTCATCAAACTCCCTGAGCAAGTAGCTGGACCAACCACTAGGAATTAAGCTAAAAACAAGGCAGAGACCACAGGCACTGTACAGTCTCGAAGATGTGTGTCAGCAATCAGCAAAGGATGACTTCTGCTCAAGACATGGCATTCCTTCTCCTGAGAATTTGAAAAGGGGCTGAGAGCAGATTCAATAAATATTAAATTTGTCATCCTTTTGGCAACAGCACTATACTACCGCCAGATGCTTACAATCACCTGCCTGGTCTCTACATGCCACACTAGATTACCAATAGGACCACTTGCAGAGCTTGTACCAAGGGATGAAAGGCCTCTGGTGGATAGTATTTGATTATGTCCAAGGTATGCAGCCTATTAATTCTGTATGGGAAGATTTCAGTTCAGACACTACCAACGAGAGGCACTAAGTAAGACTGCAGTAAATGTGGTGGGCAGGAACCAGCAGATGGCAATAATGGTTATGTCACTAGACTCCCATGTAGTCAACAGTGGTTTGAGTCCCAGATCTGGTGGCTTAAAACTCATGCCAGGTACTTGCCCAAGATCCTGAGAGGAGAGTGGAGCAGATGGGATTACAGTATGGCCATGCCCCTGGGGCCAATTTCTTGCTTCCTGTCTGTCTGTCTTGTCTGTCTCTCTCTCCTGCAAGCGCATGTGCACTATAACAAAAAGAAAACCTCTCTCTCTAAATAAAATGTGGTGGGTAGAATTCCAACACAGCTGTCCATTGTCCCCAACCCCTGGTTATTCAAACTCTAACCACAGCTGACAGCCAGCAAGGAAATGGACTTCAGTCCTACACCCTGAATTCTGCCACCAGAAGGAACTGAGAGCCTATTTCTTCCCAGAGCCTTCAGATGAGAGCCCAGGCCAGTGATAACTTGACAGCTGACACCTGTGAGACTCTACACAGAGAACTCAGCCAAGCTTGCCTGAACTTTCGAGCTACAGAACTGTGAAATGATGAACAGAGTACCATTTTTATGCAACTAAGTCTGTAGTCATCTATGTACCAACAGACCATAATACAACCTGTAAAGCTCTCTGTAGAGTGCCATGGTTCAGAATGGCCTGGCCTTCTTCAGTGTTAGCTCTCTACCTCCACAACCTCCCACCCTGATCATCCGAGTACAGTCTTTCTCTGGCTCCCTTTCACAGAAAAATAAAAAGGTACTGAGGGGCCAGAAGTTGGAGTGGTGGTTAAGGACATTGGACTCCCACATGGCCAACTGTGGTTCAAGTCCCAGACCTGGCGGCTTGCTTTCTTACTTTATCTCTTGTTCTCTCTCTCTCGCTCTGTCCCTCACTGGTCAAATTTAAATAAGTAAATAAATAAATAAAGTTAAATAATTCTTAAAAAAAAAAGAAAGAAAAAGATATTGAGAAGGACTGGTGAGACAAAGACATCTTACTTGAAAAGCCCACCCTAGGAACCAGCAGTTGGCGTAATGGCTATGCCGCTGGATTCCCATGTAGTCACTCACGGTTCAAGTACCGGACCTGGTGGCTTAAACTCACACCAGGCGTTTGTGAGTACATGCCCAAGATCCCACGAGGAGAATGGAGAAGGGATTGCAGTGTGGCCATCTCCCCTGGGGGGTGACTTTTCGCTTTCTGTGTCTCTGTCACCCTCTATCTTTCTGGTGAGCGCATGCGCCCTAAAGCAAAAATCTCTTAAAAAAAAAAAAAAAAAGAAAGAAAGAAAGAAAGAAAAGCCCACCCTAGATGGAGAATACCATTTGAAACACTAGTAGGAAGAATTAGAGGTTTCCCTTCCTACAAATTCCAACCTCATACACATGCCAGAGGTTGACTCTGTTAGTCAGCAGGGGCAATTTGCCACAGGGCCTTAGGATTCCTGCATATTCTTGCTAGGTAGGCCTTTACCCAAGCTCTTCCCCAGAACTGTACTTGCAGCAAGCAATCTTAAGAGATTAATGTTTCCATGTGCATCAAAGAGGAGGCTTGCTATAAAACAGGTGGAGTCCTGGAGCATACATGTTCCTTGACTGTAATGCAAACACATTGTGTGGTTGGCATCTCCTTGGCCCTTCAATATCCTGTGAGGACCCAGAGGATAAGGGCAACCAATATAAACATGACACGTATACTGTTTGCTAGGCTCTAGGCAATAAAATAGAGATCTCTGTCTCCAACTCAGAACTCTACTATCCTCTGTCAGCATCTGTAAAATTGTAATAATCTACTTATTAGGTTGCAAAATCCCAGACTCTGACACTATTTTACTGAGATTTTTAAATCACAAAATCTCATGTCTTTATATTATAAATTTCAAAGAAACAAAATATACCCTTTTGGAGTTTTCTTGTGGCCAGAACATTTATATCATTAAGGCTACTATAAGAATAAAACAAGAAAATGCGCAGAACATTTAGGGTGTAGAAAACATTCAATAACTTTAGTTTGAACCCTGCCTTCCCCACTCACCCATCCCTCACATACATATGCATACAATGAACCAGACAAGAAACAGTATCTGCATTCATGATAGCAATCCATTCAGAAGACAGGAAATAGTACAATATACCAATTTCTGACATTTGCATAGCACTGCACAACTTGCACAAAAACAGAGACTCAAAGAACCTGTTCTTGCTAAAAGGACAGTAAGAGACTCTGCAAGTCTAGAAAACCACCCCTCAACAGAAGCCCAGAGAGGTGGGATGAGGAAGCACAGCTGAAATACAGCTGTGATACTGTTGCTCCATATGACTCTGTCCTGAAGGCAAATTCTTCCTTCAGGTAAGTCAAGGCAGCTCTCACTGTGACTTGGCCTCCTGAAGTGTGTTGATGTTACTGGAGAAATGGCTGGAATCCACATGATCTAGAGATGTCTTCTGCTTAAACATTTTTTTAATGAAAAAATTGAGATACTTTTTTTTTAACCTTCCACCAATAAGTAAGAACATTGTGTCATCTGTCTCCCTGTGCCCATCTTATTTTATGAAACATAATGCACTGAATTGGAATAAACCACACTGTACCCCATAAATATATACAATTATTATGTGCCACCTAATTTTTTAAAAAAGGAAAGAAAGAAAAAGAGAGAGAGAGGAAGTGAAGGAGGGAAGAAATACGGAGAAAGAAAAGAAGGAAAGGAGGAAGGAGGGAAGGAAGGCAGGAAAAGACAGAAGAAGGTAATTGAAGAAAGTCCTAATATAAATGCCTATCCTGTCCTGGATGAATGTATTTGGACTTGGTCCATTTGGTGTCCTTGGCAGCATCTGCTTTGTCTGTAGACATTTGGGCCTTATCTTGTGACAATATCATTTGAGGGTCTTGCTAAGGTTGGAGAAGCCAATGCCCACACAAGTCATCAGCACTTTATCTCCACCCTTGAGTTCTTCACCACATGGCTTGGTTTCGATTTTAAACATAATCTGGAAAAAACTCTTCAAATGCCGCAAAAATTCTATCCTAAAAAAAAAAAAAAAGAAAGAAAGAAAATAATTAATTTTTTTGCAAAGTCTCCTCCCCACCACCTAGAACCCAAGCATTTAATTTACCCAACCACAAGGAAGGAATGAAATTAAGATATTCTCATCAAATCTGAATAAATAATACTTCTTATAGCCTGCCAGTTTGTGAAGAGGATTTAGACAGCTTGTTAAGATGTACATAATACAGCAAGATAAATTAAACAGAAAATAGGGGAAAAAAAATGGTTAGAGGTTAGCACAAGATATCTAAGTTACTTACTCCCACACACTTATTAAAGATTGGACAAGAATATGGTGCCAATTTGTGAGTGGCCCATGCATAGGCAGAACACATACTTCCATCTTCCATAGCACTAAGAGGTAAAATACAAGCAGAATAATTATCTCTGATGACTTATAGGGTAAGTCTCACCCTCTATTCCTTCCACTTACTCAACAGATATTCACTGAGTGCCCTCTATATATGCCAGGCAATATTCTTGGTGCTGAAGATGTTATAGCAAATGGAAAAAATGAAAACAAACTCTTCCTTCATGAAGATTTCAATCTAGTGGTGTAGACAAGAAAAAATAAGCTAAATATTCTTGAAAAGTGCTATGACAATTTAAACAAAGTCAATAGCACAGATGGGAAGAACTGTGGGTCCCTGTGCCTATTTGGCAAGAGGCAATATTAACTAAGGTGGCTTGGGAACACCACACAGTAAACACGGCAAGAAATTTTCAGGGGTTGTTTCTTTCTTTTTTTTTTTTTTTTTTTGGGGGGGGGGAGGTTTTTTGCTATAGGGCACGTATGCTCGAGAAAGACTGAGAGAGACAGAGAGAGAGAAAGCAAGAAATCACCCCCCAGAGGAGATGGCCACGCCGTAATCCCTTCTCCTCCATTCTCCTCTCGGGATCCTGGGCATACACACACACAAGCCCAACATGAGTTTACACCAGGTCCGGGACTCAAACTGCAGTGGACTACATGGGAATCCAGCGACACAGCCATTACACTAACTGCTGGTCCCCAGGGATTGTTTCTTGTAATCTCCCTTAATACAGAGCAACGGCAGCACTCTGAAAGTGCCCTGGGAACAGCAATTCTGTGGATGGACCAAGATGGAGGCACACAGGCTTCTGAGGGTCTGTCCTAGTAGATTCAGCATCACTTTCACTAGCCTGACCATAAGACTCACCTGGATAGGTCACTGAACACATGGGTTCCTTAAAGGTACTGATCAACTTGCAACTAGTAGGACAAAGTGTCCACATGGAAGAGCCCAGAATCAAAGGCCACATGCAGATAACCCTTCCCCACCCCCTTATCAGGCCCTGTGCTTCCCCAGTGGATAGGAGCCAGAAAACTATTATTAACACACATTCCTGGCAATTCTTATCAGGAAGTTTAGGAGACACTGGTTTAATAAAGAACGGTGATCTGAACATCTGTAATGAACTATTTTTTTTTTTTTTTGGAGAGGTTTTTACTATAGGGAGCGTGCGCTCTCCAGAAAGAGAGAGAGACAGAAAGCGAGAAATCATCCCCCAGGAGGGATGGCCATGACGCAATCCCTTCCCCTCCATTCTCCTCTCAGGATCTTGGGCACGCATGCACACACGCCTGGCATGAGTTTAGGCCACCAGGCCCGGGACTCGAACCATGGTCGACTACATGGGAGTCCAATGACATAGCCATTATGCCAACTGCTGGTCCCTGTAATGAACTATTAAAGAAACTGTATATTTTGCTGCCTACCAGTCATATCAGCAATAACCCCTACCCCAACTTGTTAGTCCCCAACCTTGAATGCACATGGAAGAGCTACAAAGATACTGATTGTAGGCCCACCTGCAGTGGCAAAGGTGGTGGGATGCTGCTGAAAGATACTAGCCACATTGGAGATGGACCCCACCTTAGTATGAATGAACCAGGTGTACTCACACATACCCATGATCCTGACAGACTGGGGAGAGGATTGAGGCATGGCAAGACCCTGTAAAGGGTACAACCCCTTATGAAATAAATAAAACTTTAAAAATACATATCCTAAACATACAGATCAATAAAATAATATTGTGAATCAAGAATTAAACCCAGGGTTGGCCCTGTAGCCTTGTGGTTAAAGGAGCTGGATTCCATAAAGCCAACCACAGTTTGAATTCTGGTCCCAGTGACTTGAAAAACATGATGGACACATATGTATGTGTGCCTAAACCCCTAATAGGATGAAGAAATGGAGAAGGGATTGTGATATGACCATACCTCACAGGGGAATGCTTTTCCCCTTTCCTCTGTCTCTCTGTAGTGAGCACACGTGCATTGTGGCAATGAAAATATATACATAAATTAATAATAATAATAATAAACAAATAGCCCAATTAAAAGATGAACAAGAGACCTAAGGAGACATTTCCTTAAAACAGGACATACAAATATTCGATAGGCACGTGAAAGATAACATCATTAATTTTTAAGAAAATAGTAACTAAAACCACCATGAGATACCACTATATACCCAGTAAGATGGCTATACTAAAAAAGACAGGCTATAACATAAGGGTTGGTAAGGACATAGAGAAATTAGAACCCTAATATACAGCTGGTGGGAATGTAAAATTGTACAAGAACTGTGGAAAACAATTTGGTAGTTCCTCCAAATGTTAAACAAGGAGTTACCATTTAACACAATAATTCCACTCTTAGGTATATGCAACAGGAATGAATATATAGTCCCAAATGAAAGCTAGGGCAGACACATTCAGTGGCAGATACATTCAATGGATGGCCATGATAAGCAACTCTATTAGAGGAACAAAGTAGATTAGTGGTTGCCTGAGGCTAGGGAGAGTGGGAGAAATGCAGAGTTGCCACCAATGGGTACAAGGTTTGTTTCAGGGATGATAAAAATAACCTAAAATTAGGTTGTGGTTACACTACTGTGTGAATATACTGAAGACCATTAAATTTATATCAAATAAATAAACTGTGTGGTGTGTGAGTTACATTTCAATTAAACTATTTTAAACAAATAAATCATACATAATTGTGAAGTTTAAAAAAAAAATACTGATCTTGATTCCCACCCCTACCCAGTATATACCAAACTAAGTATAAAGCCTCCTGTGGTGAATTTTCCACCCATTCCTTTCCCTCTGTCCTCAGAGTATGAATATAGTCAAAGGAGGATAAAAGCAACAAGGAGAAAAGGAAGTCTGAACAATTCCTCACCCTGTCTGGCTGAAATGACTGGCACATGAGGGACTAAGGAATGAAATATAATTACCCAGAGAGCAAGAACTCTGGTGTGTGCTGCACGCTTGCAAAAAAAAGTCCCGACTTCCTTTTTCTGCCACCTAGGAATGGGCAACTTCATCAGCATCCTTAAAATAATATCCCAGTTGTCAACTCTTCTACAAAGCCTTTCCTAGTCAGTAACCCTCATGCCACATGATCTTTCCCACTTCTGCAGGTTTCCATAGTGTTCTCTGCTTTATGGTGTCCAATTAAAAGCTTACGTATAGTTGTCTCTATAACTGTTCCCTTCCCTCTTGGTAAATTAGACCAACATCAAAGACAATGATTTTTCTCTATCACTGAAACTGTTACACTTTTAGATACTATATATGGCCCCTAATAGAGGTACCAAATAGAATTTAGGAGTTGGGATAATCTTGAGAAATCACTTCAACATTCTTGGCAATTAAGAGTTGTGAGTTTGTGGGGCCAGCAGTTGGCGTAATGGCTATGTCGCTGGACTCCCATGTAGTTGACTGTGGTTCGAGTGGCAGACCCAGTGGCTTAGACTCATGCCAGGCACGTGCCCAAGATCTGGAGAGGAGAATAGAGGAGAAGGGATTACGGCATAGCCATCCCTCCTGGGTGATGATTTCTCTTTCTGTCTCTCTGTCTCAGAGATATCTGTCTTTCTGGCAAGCCCATGCGCCCTATAGCAAAAACCTCTCCAAAAAGAAAAGAGAGAGATGTCAGTTCTCCCACCCTACTGACTTTCTGCCTTAGTAACCAATTGAAATTTTCATTTTTCTTCTTGTTCTCCATTCCACCACCTCCCATCCCTGTTCTAGGTGGGGGAAGGGATAAAAAAATAAAACAAGCACATCAAACCCACAGATAAACAGTACACATCTGTGGGCAGAACTTCCAGCTGGCAGCAAGGTAGAAAAAGCCAGCCACCTCACCCAGTCATCTGCATCCTAAGGAGAAAAGGCTTGTTCTCATCCTCACTGGAATTAATACAGGCCTAGGGCACGCTCTGCTTCTAGGACCTCACCCAGCTGACTTCACTCTGAATCACTCAACTGTTTGAAAAACCAGACACCTTCCCCAGATGGCAGAATTCCTAGGGGGCCTCAGCTAGCTTCTGATCTCCTGATCTCTTGGAGAAGGATAGCAGAAACATGGACTTGAGTGTGCAGGCCTACATATTTGTAGCTACGGGGTATTTGTAGCCTTTGGAACAGTTAGAAAAACCAAAGGTAGTTCCACTTTTTACATAATGTTCTGCCAATTGCTCAGCCTGTCTAAGGAAGACTGTATTAAAGACTGGATTAAGGTATGTTTCTGAATGTCTCTCCCCCACCTCCAGCCCCATTCTCCTTATGTCTCCAGTACCTGGGATATTAAGAAGCAAAATGCTCAGAAGCTGAGAAATAACCAACAAACAGCCTCCTTGAGAAAATGGAAACCAAATGAAGAATAAGCTCACCCCACATCTACGCACAACTATACAAAGTCTCATCTGGTGTAATCCACATCCTTCTCCACAGCCTCACAGCTCTGCACAGCTACAGGCCCCCCTCCATGGCACCCTGTCCTGAGTTCACTCATACTTCCCTCCTTTCCCTCTCACAGAATTTGCTGTGGATTCACGCTGTACTGTAGGTACAGGCACACAGTAGGACGAAGAGAGACCCACAACACATTGAGAGTAAAGCCCCTTTGACAGACGACGGTCTGCACAGTGCAGTTGGCAGC